GACAAACACTGGCACCACCGCCGCGAGTTTCTGCTCCGCAACGCCGGGGACTTGGCCCCCACGGGCGGCGTGGCCTCGGATGACACGGCCGCCGCCGAGAGCGGGACCCGCAGTCGGCAGCTTCAGCAGCTCATCTCCTTCTCCCTGGCCTGGGCCAACCATGTCTTCCTCGGGTGCCGGTGAGTGAGAAAGCCGCTCGAGCCAGACTTCCCCCATTTTGTCTTCCCCTCCTGGCGTTGGTGGCGAAGACGGGCTTTCGGTGGGGAGGGGTCGTGTCCGCCGCGGAGGTCGCGGGACCGGCCGGGCGAGAAGGGCGGCTCCGCGCACGGGCAACTTCGCAGGCGCGATTGGGGAGTCGCTCCGGAGCGGCCCCTGTTGGGTGGGACGCGGCGGCAGGGTGGTGGGCGCCGAGCTGACAAAGCGCTTGGGGGTGGACCCCGCGAGTCACTTGCAGTTAATATGCTAGGGTGATTACGACCAGGAAACGCCGTGCCGGTGGCCTCTCTTGCTTGCCAGACGAATGAATGTACCCGAAATAGGAAGTTGGTAGGAAAAAACCCCAACTTTTTATTTTTTTAATAGGAACTTTCCCCCCTTTTCTTTCAGGTACCCTCAAAAAGTTATGGATAAAATACTTAGTATGGCTGAAGGCATCAAAGTGACAGATGCTCCAATCCATACAACAAGAGACGAACTGGTTGCCAAGGTGAAGAAAAGAGGGATATCGAGTAGCAATGGTTAGCAGATCATAGCTGTGAACATACATAGGAGTTTAGAACATAAGTTTAAAATAATTTGGCTTGATTGTTACTAATTTTTTAACCAGTCAGATTTTGCATAATGCTATTAATCAAGTTGATATGTTAAATCTAAAATGCATTTCTGTATGCTTTAAAGGCTCTGAATTTTGATAAGTTTTATTGAACTGCTTCAGAATTTGAAACATCACGTAACTTAATTTTCTAAATTAATGCCACTATTCCACAGTTTTTAAAGAAACTTCCGAGTCAGAATTGACTCAATGGCAGTGTTTTGTTTTCATTTAGTCCTGATCTCTTTTGATCTTTTGAAGTTAATGATTATCTGTTGTACAAATTTTTAGTTGATATGTATTAGGTAGATAGTCACATAATATGTTTTCCTCCTTTTTTTAGAAGGGGTAGAAGAGCCACCCAGAAAACAAAGTGTCGAAGGAAAAAACAACTCTACGGTTGAGCAAGGGCATGCAAGAACTTCTGTCAAAACAGAACATGCATCACCTAAGCA